ATATGATGTAATTTTTCAGTACTCGACTACAAGGGCCATTTGGATCAACTAAAGTGAGTTTTTTGTTGCTTTCCTTCCTTATTGTCATTTTTGTATTTTGATTGATTCATTCTAATAGACATGTTCCATCCTTTTTCCAAGCGTAACCTACATGAGAGTATCAGTGACAGCAGGAAAAAATAATCGCTATCATTTGGCTTGAATGACCTCTCGGAAGTGATCTCCTGCCAGGTTGACCCCATTTTTTAGTATTTGTTGCGTGTTTTTCTCTTACCTACATATTTCGACCACCTGTTCTCTATCTGCGACCTTCCTAATCCTTTAAATCTTTCACCGCATGTTCTTTGAAAGGATAAAGGATAGAGCTTTCGACGTTCTTTCTGGACTGCACTTCCGTGAACTATGGCAACATGCAACAAACCGTTTCGAAAATGGGCTCTATCCTTTATCCTTTCGAACGACCTGAGAGGCCTTCCTTATCAACACCATTTCTGCGCACTCCAATGACGAAAGTGAGACACTTTTCCAGCTGCGAAACCGTTCACTCGCACATGGCGAAGCTCAGCCTCCCAAAGGAGTGTACAGTGTGTCTTCAAGTCAAACAGCACCATCCTTCCGTCATCGTTGCTGAGGATGGGTTCCCTTTCCCCCTCACTTCTTCTCATTCTCTTTCCTTTTCTTTCTCTTCCTCTGCGGCTATTTACTCTCAGACTTTCGAAAATACTGCTTTTTTTACATCCTTACACTTTTATCTCTATTTCTGGATTAATGGCTGTCAGTCCATTTCCTCATTTATTTCTTCCCTTTCTTTCTGTCTCTTTACCGCTCTATCTTTTTTGCTTCTGTACCTCTGAGTATCGGTTGCTCAAATGCTCTTCCTTTATATGTCTCAATACACCCTTCACAGCCTTTCCTCATCAGATTTGTACTGCATAGCTGACGGACGATATGACAGCGATACTACTAAAGAATGCTGCGAACAGTACGGTTCCGTTTGGAGCGTTGATTCACCGGACGTGCTTCTGTAGTCTCATCATCGACATAGAAAAGCGCTACCAACATCATCGACGATGATGCTTCGACACGCCCTTCCGGAGAACACTTAACTGCTTTGCAGGGTTCTCTCTCACTGTAGTTTCTGAGTACGAATTCCAGAGAACCTTTCGCTCTCTCGGCTACTCTAGCAGTTGCATCAATCCTTCTCCCTGACTTCTGGAATATCCTTCCAAATAAAGAGCTTTTTGTGTGATGATTAGTCTCTAAAGGGTTTCATGATTGTTCTTGAGAACGTTTTTGTAGGACTTTTAAAGGCAGAACCCGCGATTATTCGCCATCTCAGATAGTGGATTAGGGGGTTCCATATAGACGACAAGGGGTTGAGTAACTCGACAGTGAAGAAAAAAAGCACAAAAAACATGCCACCTGCCCTAGATAGAACCCCATTTCGATCCTAGCTTGTAGATTGAATCTATCTCGCACACTACGCCCTCGTACGCACAGCGATTCACCGATAAGAACTCTACGATTGTACAAGTGACGATTTTCATGCTTTTTCGTCCTGCAATCTCGTTTTTCACTGAAAGCCGGGCATTGGAGGCGGAGTCTGGAGGCGGAGTCACTGGAAAAAAGGAGGAACCACTGAACCTATATTGCGCTATAGCGCCCCTCTTAGAATTTTTGCCGCGAAACCGGTACAAGGTTGTTCGTCACGGACTACACTAACCGCCTGAAGCCATATTTCCAACTTCGATACCTGGTCGCGGACCGTGTTTTTTAAATCCCCCCTAAAATGAAGTGATGCACATCACCCTTGAGTGGCCTTTGTTGAGTAGCTCAGAGACGCGGTGCGCAGTTCGGTTTGGAAAGAGTAATTTTTGTTTCTTGGTTCCTTCACTAGTTCCCGGGAAAGTTGAAGCTAGGAGAAGTCAGAAAGTGTCTGGAAATTGGAAGGTGAAACTTACAGCGGAGGAACAGCGTTCCTACTGAAGGTGAAACTTACAGCGGAGGAACAGCGTTCCTACTATTTGACAGGTCCTACACTTTGAGCAGTGCAGTCCATTGCCACTAGAACAGATCTAGTTGTCGAATAATCCTGTGATCGCAGAACTTCTGTAAAGCTCTAGGTGAGATATCGTGGTGCCGCAGCCGTCAGTCCTCGGGAATGGAACTCAAAAGTATCAGAGCACTTATGACAGCCTGTTTTCCCACCGACGTACACACGTGTGCGCTGCTCAGAATTGTCTTGGAATTTGCGAAACGATTCTCTGAATGAAGTTACGAGGTTTGTTCTTCATCGCTGCTAATCTCCATTGCCGGCATATATACCGATCGAGCTGTTGGGGTTCTTTTCGGGCTCTGAAGCTTTTTTATCTGACTTCCCCCTACGCAACATTAGTAACCAAATAATAATTAAACGAGTATGAATGGCACTTTCTCGATGCATTCCATTCCCCATCATACAATGACTCTTTCCAAAAACCTCTGTGGGTCTGCATTGCTCAGAAGAACCTCATTCTCATGGAATGTTGTTGTCATCGACCGTTGCTGTGCCCTTGAGCTGTTTCTATTGTTTATTGCTATTGTCTTACAGAATTGTCTTACAGACCAGATTGTGGGCTGAGTTCAAGAACTAGCAGTAGTAGTCACTATCGTGATGTTTCACTGACAGGAGAAGCCGCATGTTGAGCATTCCTGATTGTCGGTCCCTCTGAATCGATGGAAGTATTATGTTTCTATAGTGATTTGATTTAATTCACCTTCCTGCCCTCATTTTACCCTTTCAAGGGGGTCACGATAGGAGAATGGTGTTCCTTCGAGGAAGAATAGGGGGTCGTACAGAAGGGACAGTTATCTCCGTCGCTGCATACTGTGTCCTGTTCATGGGCCACGCGGGGTTTCGTCACACTTCGAAGAATTCCTCAGCTTCTCTCTCCTTGGCATGACGGACTGACTGCATTCTGTCGTACAATTGTTGCTCTTGTGTGCAACGGACATTGCCGTTATAGGTCTAGGGGGTATAGATGGAACCGTCGGCCTTTGAAACAACGATTCAGTCGAAAGGTTAGGTCATATTAAATAAGTTCCACTGACCAAATTCGTGAGGCACGGAAGGAGTTAAGAACTTCCATCTTTATCATCCAGCACAGCCATTGAAATAAGTGTGGTAAATAGAGGATAGTCAGGACCTACCTTAATTAACTTGTCAATTATTCTTTCAGAGTTGGCGCTGATCCGAACATTCTCAGCGAAATCCAACAGTTCTATCGCCTATTCCGGGCTGACACTGTTGAAGAGACTTCTCTACCGCTGACTCCAGCAAGTGAAACTAACGACACGATGATTACGGTAAGGTTTATGTTCATCAATCTGAAACAATTTCGGGAGAGGGTACGGGAAAGTTGCGGGAGAGGTTGGGATGAAGTGGCGATAGATGATGCTGTCGTTTCTTCGATCCCGGGATCTGATCCCATCCAAACGAACCAAATACTTTATCACGTCTGCGGTTGTCAGTTTCGCTCTTACGAAAGTCATGTTATACTGAATTAGAAACAGTAATATCCTTTTTTTGCTGAGGTAAATCAAATTCTAATGAAGCAAGTTGTATCACTTGGCAACAAATGAATAAATATTTAGTTGATTCACCTCCTCATTTACTAACTTTGTAACCGGAAATGTCCGAAGCTAGTTCAAATAAATCACATCACGCAGATACATTCTGCGATTGTTGAGAAGGAGGAGACTGACGACAGTCGCTCCTTCCTTACCACCAATCTCCTTCTAGATATAAGGAGAAAGAGCAAACCAATAAGGCTGGCACAATCATCGTGGGCCTCCGCCCGCTTCCCCACCCATCCGGTTATCGCGGAATATGTCCTTAGCTTTGGTTGGTTGTTGTTTTTGCAGCTCACTGTGTCACTAAATTATGCACTCTAGTGACA